TCCTTCCGCCTCAGCTTTCCAAGGAGCTGGAACTACAGGCGCGCGCTACCACGCCCGGCTGATTTTTGATTTATTGGAGAGATGAAGTCTCGCCAAGTTGCCCAGGCGGGTCTCGAACCCGTGGGCTCGGCAATCCAAAATGTGCAGTTTTTACGTGGTCTTCATTTACTGGATACTCATTAGGTGTATTCATTTAGGTCACATTTACTAAACGTCTGCTGTGTCGTAGACATATAGACATGAGGAACAAGTAGGCAGGGGCCAGGCATGGTGGCTCATGCCTGTGATCCCAGCAATTTGGGAGGCTGAGGTGAGAGAATTGCCTAAGCCTGTGGTTTGAAGACTAGTCTGAGCCACATGGTGAGACCTCATCTCTACAATAAATCAAAAAAAGAAAAACAGCTAGGCAAAGGGAAGATAGGCAAGTAGATCAGGACACACAGTGTAGTAAGTGTGTGTGTGTGTGTGTGTGTGTGTGTGTGTGTGTGTGTGTGTGTAGATTGATTGATTCAGTCACTCTATCACCCAGGCTAGAGTGCAGTGGCATGCTTACGGCCATTGCAGCCTTGACCTGCTGGGCTCAGACAATCCTCCTGTCTCAGCCTTCCAGGTAACTGGAACCACTGGCATGTGCACCACGCCTGCCTAGCTAGTTTTTCTGATTTATTGTAGAGATGAGGTCTCCCAACTGGCTTAGGCAATCAGTCCTCTTGCCTTGGCTCCCAAAGTGTGAGCCATCGTGCCAGCTACCATTAGCCTTATTTAAAATTTGAGTCGGAGTTTCACTCTGTCCCCCAGGCCGGAGTGCAGTGGCACGTTCATGGCCACCACAGCCTTGAACTGCTGGGCTCCAGCGAGCCTTCTGTCTCAGCCTTCCAAGAAGCAGGAATCACAGGCATGCGCCACCACCTATAGCTAATTTTTTTTAATTTTGTAGAGAGAACGTCTTGCCATGTTGCTCAGGCTGGTTTTGAACCCCTGAGTCAGGCAATCCTCTGCCCTCCTCCCAAAGTGCTGGGTTTATCCGCATGAGCCACCACTCCTGGCCCATTAGCTTTGCTTACGTGTTCCCATGCTGCTTTCTCTTCTGAAAAACTCTTTCTCCTTCTGGCAAGCTGCATTATTGCTCAGCTTTCAAGTTTCTGCTTCGGGGTGACTTGCTCTGGTAACCCTTCCCTCCTTCCAAAGGCTATATTCAATACCCATTTAAAATTTTAAAAATAGCTGGGCTTGGTGGCTCAGCCTGTAATCCCGCGCCTTTGGGAGGCTGAGGTGAGTGGATTGCCTGCGCCCGCGGGTTCAAGACCCGCCTGGGCAGCGAGACCTCATCTCTACAATAAATCAAAAAATCAGCCGAGCGTGGTAGCGTGCGCCTGTAATTCCAGCTACTCGGAAGGCTGAGGTGGAAGGATTGCCAGAGCCCAGCAGGCGAGGCTGCGGTGGCCGGGAGCGGCCACTGCACTCCAGTCTGGGCGACAGAGTGAGACTCTGACTCAAAAAAATTAAAATAAAATAAAGTAAAATAAAATGAAATTTAAAAAATAAGCCGGGCTCTGTGGCTCGGTTTGTAATCCTGCACCTTGGGAGGCTGAGGTGAGTGGATTGCCTGAGCCCGCGGGTTCAAGACCCGGCTGGGCAACTTGGCGAGACCTCATCTCTACCAATAAATAAAAAAAAAATCAGCCGGGCATGGTAGCACGTGTCTGTAATTCCGGCTACTCGGAAGGCTGAGGTGGAAGGATTGCCGGTGCCCAGTGGGTCGAGGCTGCGGTGGCCGTGGCGTGCACCTGCAGTCCAGTCTGGGCAACAGAGTGAGACTCCAACCCAAAACAAAACAAAACAAAAACAAAAAAAAAAAGCTTTAAAAATTTTAAGAGCAGACCACCACGCCCGGCATGAGGAAACCAAATTTATTTTTTAATGTAAGGAATTGTACAGAAATTAGGTTGGAATATATAGTTTATTTAGAAAGTAAATTAGAGGAGATTCACCTCTCCAAAGTAGGGGAGAGGGGCCGAAGCCAGGAAACTTGACCTGGCCAGTGCTTAGCAGTGCAGTGGTTGAGAATAACAACTGTTTTTTTCCTTCTTTCTTTTTTTTTGCATTGGGACCTCACTCTGTCACCCAAGCTGGAGTGCAGAGGTATGTTCATAGCCATAGTAGCCTCGACCTGCTACTGAACTCAGGTGAGCCTTCACCTTAGTCTTCCAGGTAGCTGGATCTATAGGCACGCGCCACCATGCCCGGTTCATTAATTTTTTGATTTATTGTAGAGACGAGATCTCATCAACTTGACCAGGCTGAGAACACTAACTTTTTTTTTTTGAGTCAGAGTCTCGCTTTGTTGCCCAGGCTGGAGTGCAGTGGCACGCTCATGGCCACTGCAGCGTCAACCTGCTGGGCTCTGGTGATCCTTCCACCTCAGCCTTCCAAATAGCCATAACTACACGTGTGAGCCACCATGCCCGGCTAATTTTTGATTTATTGTAGAGACGAAGTCTCGACAAGTTGCCTAGGCTGGTCTCGAACTCGCGGGCTCAGGCAATCCACTAGCCTCAACTTCCCAAAGTGCTACGATTAAAGGCTGAGCCTCTGAACCCGGCCAGAACTTTCAAAGATTAGATAGGATTGAATAAGTCTGCAAAAACTACTGAGATGAACTAAAATGTAAAGTACTTTTCTAATGAAACCTAAATATTTGCATGTAGGAGAATGGGCTAGGGACTTTTTTGTTTTTTTCTTTGAGTTGGAGTCTCACTCTGTCGCCCAGACTGGAGTGCAGTGGTCGCTCCTGGCCACTGCATCCTCGACCTGCTGGGCTCCAGTAATCCTTCTGCTTTAGCCTTCCAAGTAGCTGGAACTACAGGCGCACACTACCACGCCCGGGTAATTTTTTTTTTATTGATTGATTGATTGATTGATTTTTGAGTCAGTCTCACTCTGTCTCCCAGACTGGAGTGCAGTGTCCGCTACTGGCCACCGCAGCCTCGACCTGCTGGGCTCTGGCGATCCTTCCGCCTCAGCCTTCCAAGTAGCTGGAACTACAGGCGCGCGCTACCACGCCTGGCTAATTTTTTGATTTGTTGTAGAGATGAGGTCTTGCCAAGTTGCCCAGGCAGGTCTCGAAGCCGCGGGCTCAGGCAATCCACTCACCTCAGCCTCCCAAAGCGCGGGATTACAGGCTGGACCACCGAGCCCGGCAAACTAGGGACTTTTAAACATTCCTTTTTTTTTTCAATCTGAGTCTCACTCTTTAGCCCAGGCTGGAGTGCAGGGGC